CTCGGCTCAACATTTAACCCTTTAGGTTCCCTCATAAAATTAATATGTTGCAACACGATATTTAGTAATTTTTTTATTGATTCTAGTATAATATAATATAAAACACACGAAAAAAGTTTTTTAATTCAAAATGGCGGCTCTCCCTGGTGGTTTTAAATTCATATCATTGACACCTTATGGAAACTTTCGAAACAGTTTCTATTTTTATTTAGACATAGTGGTACGTTGCATGATTTGCACGACCACCTTGTTCTTCTGGGATTTAACTTTGTACTACAGAAGGTACACCTTCGTGAGGTTCCTGCCTGAGGTTGATGAGCTGAGTTTTTTAGTCTAATTTCTGGAAGGATATAAGGTTTATTATTTTTTCTTTGCATTGATATATAATTATTATCATTATGAATATTATCATCCCTATTAACATTTTTACAGTATGCCAATTCGCTAGCAATTATTTGTCTTCGGAATTCTTTCGATGAGAGTTTATTATCTGTAAGAATATTGTATATTATGAATGAATTGATAATCGCCGCATCTATCAGCCAAAAGAATATTGGTAGCCACCATTTTCGCCACTTTCGCGAAATTTCATATAAAGACTTTAAATGGTCGAAATGGTCAACAGACCCCATATATTTATTATACATCTTTATCATTATTGGACATTTTACGTCAAATACTTCCCCTTTTTTATTTTTTCTCTTCACAGTATCCACTGATCTCGGATCAATATAATTGGACATTATAAATACGTCACGATTATCTCGCCATTTAATTATACTTATATTATTTTTGTCACTTCTCCAGTCAAACTCACCTCTTTTTAATTTTGTTTCCATATTCTTTATGGGCAAGTATCTCCTATTTTTGTTTAGTGTTCCGGTAGCATATATACCTTTCTTTTTTAAATCGATCAATTTCAATTTGATAAGGCGTATCCGATTCATAATCATCACTATCAATTTGGTAACGTGTATCCGATTCATAATCATCTTCGGAATCAGTGGATGAGTTGTCTAACGAAGAACCTTCAGATGGAATGTCCAGATAATCATCCATATATATAACAAGCTAAAATTATTGCGAAATGAGTTGGCAAAATTTATCAATTATTTTAAAAAATAAATATTAAAAATATTGTTGTTAAGTGGCAGTGGTTAGTTTAATATACACATTAAAAAGATCAAAATAATATATAAATATTATTTATTTGAGCAAAAATAAATATTAGAAAGATAGATAAAATAGTGAGGAATATATATATTTAAAAATATTTGATAAATATACTTACTTATAATTAAAATTGGAATTTTAAGAAAAATCACCGTAAAAAACGTATTTTGAAATAAAGGTGCGAAAAAAAAATTAAAAAATAACTCCTCCACAAACATATGAAAAAGAATATCTTTTAATATATATTCGTGGTGGTTTCATTTTATATGATCAACTCCTTTAGAAGATATAAAGGTTAAAAGGTGGTTTTATATTTGCACTACCGCGACCGAAAGGGTTAATAATGAATAAATTAAATTTAAATAAAATATAATTTTATTTTCATTAGATTTTATTTTAATTAACAAATATTATTAATATTTAAAAAAAAATATAATTTATATATTAAATTTAAAGGAGCGGTGGAGCGGCGCTCTTCCGCTACAGCCCTAAAAGGAGCTACTCCCGCTCGCCCTCGTCATTTTTAAAAAGGAGGGGCGCTCCAGCTGTTTTTGCGATAATTACTTCGCGCAAACATATTCGCTATAAAAAATTCGCTGTAAAGAGTTCGCCTAAATAGTTTCGCTAAAATGTATTCGCTTGAATGACTTTGCGCTTAAGGTTTCGCTGAGATAAAGTCGCGATAATGGCTTCGCGAAATTGTCTTCGCTATAAATGTTTCGCGGAAAAAAATTCGCGGAATTGGTTTCGCGATATTACCTTCGCTATAAAATCTTTTCGCGATAAACGACATTCGCTATAAAAGTTTCGCGAAAAAGTGTTTCGCGATAAAAGTTTCGCTGAATTGACCTGATACGCTTTGCCGCTAATTCGTGATAACTCTGAATGCAAGGTAACTCCTCATTCAGTGTTAGCCCGAATTCGTGGTTGAGAATACAAAAATAAAGTGTATTTGATAACTCGCGCTTAACCCTTAACCTTGAATTCATAATGGGGCGATTGCGATCACGATTTAAAGCTGATCGCTATTTAACAGCTGATCGCGATTTAACAGCTCATCGCGATTTAACAACTCATCAATTTTCAAAATCTGTTTATGAGATCGATTTTTTATTTATTAATATTAATTTTATCTTTAATTCAATTCATAAAATAATGATCTTAGTAAAGAAAAATTGATCTCATAAACAGATTTTAAAAAAAAATTGTCAGCTGTTAAATCGCTAACGTAAATCGCTCCACTATGAATTCAAGGTAACTCAATGTTTTATTCAGGATAAAATATCATGCAAGCCTAAAGATTTTGATCATGGAGGAGACAAAGGTTTGGACATCTATTGACCAAATTTCGAGGCTTGGACAATATTTTCCTGACTAAAATATTGTAGCCGTTTTTAAAAATCGGCTCAAATCGAGACGTTTTGCAACACTAGTAATTATAATAAATTAATTTAGAGGATGGGGGGGGGGGGTAGTAAGTAAGCCATTTCACAAAGGCGCCAGAAAAACTTTTTACCCCGCCAAATAAATTTTATAAACCAAATTTTTTTCTGCAATTTAGAAATTTAGGACCCTGACATCCCTGTATATGATTGTAAATAATAATGGTATTAATAAATAATAATTAAATATAAACAAAATAATTAATAATAAAATGTAGCAATAATTATAAAATTTAAAATACAATTTTAACTATATATATTTGAACGAAAAAAATGATAATAAGTAATTTTATTAATCGTCAATTTAAAATTTTTAGTATTTTTTTTTAAAAAATAAATTTTATAAATATTTTTAAATATCTTTCAAAATATATATAAATTATTTTCTTTCAGATTTTAATTAAAATTCCATAATTTATTAAACAAAAAAAATAATTTTTTTTTAAATAAAGAATATAGTATTTTTATTGAATTTCTTTCTATATTTCAGCCAATAGTCACATTAACTAACGGCAATTTTTCCCATTCCACATATATTTTTTTTTAAAAACTTTATCGCGGAAAATTTCTAATATAAAAAACGAAAAGCACGAATACTTATTTCTTAAACAAAAACTGCAACTAGAAATTTTTAAACATAATTATACTTGTTTTTTAGGAACATATTCATTATTAAATTAAGCTCTTATTAGAGCCTCCGTTACTTATAATATATATTGATATATATTTATTTTTAATTAGTAATTTTATATAATTAGATTTATTATTATTTGTAAATTGATTTCTACTAATATTATAATAATAACATCTCATCTCTTATAATAAAATAATTTTGGTTATTAATGGATCAAATTTATTCTCTAGATATTAATTAAATAAATTAATATTTTGATAAAATTTATTTATAGTTAGTTTTACATTTATATAATCCTAAAATAATGTTACAGCATGACTTAGATAAATCAATATATTTATTTCTTTAATTTTATCAGGCAATAATGTATAAATATATCAATGACATATAATAATACCTAGACTGACGATGCATTCATAAAATGCACTTGAAAGCGTCTTTGAATGCAAATCAGCTGAAACCGCCCATTTGGTAACCCATATAGTAATTATTCTCATGTTAAAAAACTACTATTAAATTGATAACTTGCTTCATCTCGATGATCATGCAATTCTTTAATAAAGTCTGAGTCAGATATAGGTATAAATTGGCCTCTCGTTTAAAATTTTTAATATTGATATGGGTAACAAAAATGGCATCCCCAGCTATTCATGAACGATGAAATTGAAATAATACATCTTAGGTTTCGTTGGTAGTGTTGTTAAATGGCTCGTTTTGAGCCGATTTTTAAAAACGGCTAACTTAATATTTTTTGCCGGAAAAATATTGTCTGAGCCTCGAGATTTCGTGAATTGATATCTAGACTCTTGTGTCATCTATGAACAAAATCTTCAGGCTTGCGTAATATTAATCTGGATACAATATTGAGTTTCGTTTTTAAATATCGGCTCAAATTGAGCCGTTTAACAACACTATTCGTTAGTTGGATTTAAAAAAAAATATATAAGTTTAGTAAAAACGGGGAAAAAAACATTATCGATCTATATAATATAACAACTGTTATAGCGTGCAACGGGTCGTGCACGGGGGGGGGGGGTGCGGGCCTCAGAGAATTCAAATAAGCGTTTGCGCCAAAATTATCCCAATTTTTAAAAAAAATATTTTTTTAAAGGTGTACTGGGTAGAAAAATTTAAACCCACCACCTCCTCCTCTTGAAGCAAAACTCTAGAATAAGTCAATGACATATATAAATAACCTAGACTGACGATGCATTCATTAAAAGTGTACATCAATGAAAAAAGCTGGGGACTATACTTTGGTTACGCATATCATAAAATTTTAAACGAGAAGCCAATTTATTCCTATGTCTGATGCCAATTTTTTTTAAAGAATTTCCCGATCATTGAGATAATAAGGAAGCAAGTTATCAATTTAATAGTAGTTTTTAACAAGAGAATTATTATTATATGGGTTACCACAATGGCGGATCCAGTTGATTTGCATTCAACGACGCTTTCAAATGCAATATTATGGATGCATCGTCAGTCTAGTTATTATTACTTGTCATTAGTGATATGTAAATATTCCTGCATCAGGCGATATTACTGATTTTTTTTGAAATTTACATAAGAAGATATTTTAAAAAAAATTTTGATATTTGCATCAGGTGATATTATAAAATTTTTATAGGAAATTAAATGTAGTAAACAAAAATAACTTAACAATATAATTTTACTTAATTTTTTTTATAAATATTTAATTTTTTTTTATAAATATAAATGTTATATTATCATAATAAATTACAAATTAGATGCTGACCGAAGAATTCAGTAAACTGGACAATGATCGGGATGGATTAGTTAATTTCGGGTACGAAGAATTTATAAATGTGGAAATTTAGCATTTTGTAAAACGGAAGGAAATGCCATCTTCATAGCCGCCACCCTATACCCAAATATATATATATATATTTATATTATAAAAAATAGCAAGCATACCAAATATTAAAAAAATTATTTACTTATAATGTATAAGAAATTTTATTTTCTTCTTATCTTCTTTCTTTCCTTTGAAAGTATTATTTATTCAATTTTTTAAAATATATTTTTTTGTATTTATGCCTTCTTATCGAAAATGCAGGAATAAATATGATAGACACCATTATTTTCTATATAAATTGTGATATATTATTAAGGTAAACATGATTACGAGCCCTGTCATTTAATATTGAAGTTTATTATTTTTGTATATTATTTTATATTCTATTATGCAATAATCAAACGATAAATAATAAATCGACTTTAAAAAGCCTGTCTATTCATAAATAATATATGTAAACATGTCCTAACCTCCTTTTGAATATAATATACCCTTTTATCACTTCATAATTCCCTCCTTAAAAAAAAATTAGTATCTAAAAATCTACCTATTAATAAATTTAAAGCATTATCAAGTAAGTAATCGGAACTACCAGGTCAGAAGCCTGGCCTCGTAAGTTAATATGGTTTTCCAACCAGATTTGCGTATCTCAGATTGGGAGCCCTGACCCAAATTCAGTCTGACTTCCGAATTCTTATCAAGAATCAATATAGTTCCTTTTTGTAATCATGATTTTGTTAATAAGTTTAATAATGGTTATCAGCAAATAGCTAAACGAAAATATTTTTAGAAAAATACCAGCAAAGATTTGCTAAATTAAGTGCTGATTAGAGATTTGCAATTCAACCGTATGGGCTGAGGAAGGTCTGAAAATATTTTAATGGGCCGAGTAAAATTTGGATTTTAAAATTTATTTGATGAATTCTGATAGTTCTATAGAAACTAATAATCCATAGAGTATAATGTTTTTAATTAAATCACTTCCCAAGATTAAATAGTAGTTTATTTTGGTGTTCAACATATTTTGGTTTAGGCCTTGTATTTCGAAAAAAATATAAAAAAACTAGGTTGGGGGAACCTTGGTGAAAATTGAAACCGGGGTGGGCCGGATAAAACACCAGGCCTGAGAATTTGGCCATTTTTAAACCTCTAGTAGCTGATCCTATAATATTCACTAAAGATCTGTAAAGCCAGGTCTGCTTCAACCAGTTAAATATTTTGCACAAGCCTGGCCCTAATTTTTTTTACCAGGCCCAAAACATTTTAATTTTTTTAAAAAATGGCCCCGACCCTTTACAGTTTTTTGAAAAAGTCTTCTCCATGGGTTTAAGATTTTTTGCACTCATTTTCTGGTATTTACATTTTTAATAGCTAATCTTTTCTCAACTTTAATTAAGGCTCCCTCTCCTTAATGGGTATATTTATAAAAGAAACTCTTTATAAATTATGTTTGTACCTGTATTGTGCATTCGTGATTATATCATAATGAATTGTTTACTTTTTGAGGAATTTGCTATATTATTTATTAGTATTTTAAATAGACAGCTCTTAAAATACTTAGAAATAAGCATATTTTAATTTTTTGAAAGATTGGCATAAATAATATTCTTTATGTGAGTGTCTTGATCTCTGGAATAAAGAAAGTTATTTTGGGTAAATTTTTAAAATATTAGTAATTTATGAACTTTGTAAACGGCCCATTTTGTTGGATTTTAAAATCATACCAAATATCGAAGCTTGAAACTATTTTGCCGAAAATCTTAATCGAACCATTTAACATCACTACTTGTAAATTAATGCAAACTATTTCTAACCAAATAAAAACGAAATATTTACCTTACTTGGCCTCTAAAAACGTCAGCATCTTAGGAAATTTCCCAATGGGTTTAATGGCCAGTTCTTTCCAATGATGTAATTATTAGTCATTCCCTGACTAATATAATTTTGCTTAAAAATTAAGATCCATCTTATTTATTAAAAATTAAAAAATAATATTTTTGATGATTTGTGCATCATCATTAATATAAAATTAAAATATAAACAATATAAAAAGACGAATTCTAAAAGTATATAAAAAAGAGAAAATTAGAAAATAAAGAAATTTTCCTTCCTTTTTTTCTTAAATAAAATGTTGAGTAAATGATGTAAAGTAGAAGAAATCGAATATCTTTCAACTCGATTAAGATTATAAGGCCCTTTGTGAATTTTCATAGCTTCTCTGATTATACTCTATTTATAACAAAATTGTTAAGATTCTTATTTTGAAAGTTAATGATAGGAAATTAATGATGTATTAGGCGTAACTAGATAGAAAATGTTTATTGTAATGCATAAGGATGTTCATAAATTCTCTTTTTAGTTTTCCCAGTTTGCCAAATAAACACACATGTAGCGTATAAGTATAAGATAAAATCTAGATTTATTGAGGTAAGTTTTATTTAGATTGGAATTGAGGAAAATTGTTTAATTTTATATGATGGCTGAATACGGTTCTTATATTGTTTTTACACCATTACTGCCGATATAGCCCGTTATCTCTTTAATATATGGCAAAAAATAAATTTATTATTGTCTTCAAATTTCGAATTTTATTTATCTAGAATTTTGGTTTCAATTTACAATTGATTTTGTTGAATATATTTTATTTATACCGTCATAAAACCAATGACATATACATGTCATTCCATAAAACAACATTAATAGTAAAATATAATTTTAGACAGATTATAAATATATTTTCTCAGAATCTACGTTGATTCCATAAATTAGAAGCTGCATCACCCTGAAAACCTACTAACAGTGTTTTAATTTTTTTAACTTTTACATAGTTGTAGTGCGATTATAATGACTATGTATCTATCATAAACCTGACATCTTTTCGAACCACAAGGCAACACATGATTGCGGTTTATGTTTTTACCAAAGAGTCCTGATGTTTGTTGGTCAGATATATTAGGGGACTTCTTAGAAACAGTGTTCCACCAAATTTAATATGTTGAGCAATTATATTCCAAGGTTGCATTCACGAAAGTCAAAAATTATAATATTCCTCTATACAAATTTGGGTTAGCAGTACAAAATTATATCACCAATGTAGTAGATGGGATCAAATTAATTATAAAAGAGAATGCTCTTAATACCATAAACATTAATATTTATGGTTACCGTGCTTATGATAATTCAAGACTCCTATTAGACACATTCACATTTGATATAGGTCATATCAGCAATGATAGATTGAAAGAGCAAAACGATTTTGATTATGAGCTTTATGACATAGTCAATTCCTTGGAACAACATTTTCGCGATATTATTCTTTTGATTTTGACTTGCAAATCTCGAATATCAAATGCTATTGCCATACAATTAAAGGCAGATATTGGACCTTCTACAAGTAAAGGTTATGTCCAAGAAGAAGTCTGTAAAATTAATCTAACAGATGTCAAAAGTTTTTCTATAACTACTTTGATTCAGAATTTTACCAAAAAGATTCTTCAAAAAAATATTGAATTCCCATGGGTATCTGCAGATAATGATATTGATATAACACATTGTAAAAAAAGGCTTCTCGATGACACTTCATTGACAAAAGTTTTGATATTTTAGAGGATTATATTGATTTATTAAAAGATGAAGAAATCTTGTTTACGTCTACTCCAAGAAAATTTAGGCAAACCACAGATACACAAAGTGTAATACTATGTCAATGCAATGATACCATATTGATACCAATTAAAGAATTGGACACACCTTTTATTAATTTGCATATTTATATAACCAAGTATTTATACTTAGAATTTGAAAAATAATAATATTATATTTTTAAGAAATTTAATGTGTTTCCATAATTTTAAGATGAAATTTTTATTAAACCTGATCTCAAACACCATTTACATTTTAAATCATTGAAACTACACAAAATATAATATTATAATAAATATATTGATTACTATGTTTATTTTTTCTTTGAATTTTGTCTATTTTATCTATTTTTAAAATAAATGATAAAAATCTAAGATTTTAAATTGAAATTATGACATGAATAAAATGATAAAAATAAAATTTTAAAAAGAAATTATGACATAAATAAAATGATAAAAATAAATATTTTTAAATGAGTTTTAATATTTAGTTAATATTTTTTTCTTTTTAAAAAAGAATTTTTCTTCTGAGCTTTATAGAATGTATCAAGATTAAGGTGTAACTGTAACCAGTACAAAGTAGGGTTATATCAATATCAACAATTGATGTTGATATTGATATTTTGACCAAAAAAATATTGGATCAGTTTATATTGTGATATATCAATGCAATATAAGTCATTATTCTTAAGATTTATGCCTACCCCCTCCACCCTCTAGATAGGGAACAAACAGAGGTATATTGCCTAAAGATTTGGTGGGGGAAAGGACTAAAATTTTTATCTATTATCAAAAAAGGATATATATATAAAATTATTACAAATGTGAATAAATTCTTTATATATTTTAAAAACAATGTAACTTAATACCACCAATATCTTTACAAATTAAGAAAATATATAAATGGATTAATAAATTTTTCCATAATCCTTCATATCTTCCTTTTCTTTGGATTGTATTTTTTTGAAAAAGATTTCATCCTATTATTTTATATATGGATTCTTAATTCCACTCTGATATTGAAGATTCATTAATACTCATGAACATTAAAGTTGACATATTAAAAACTTCATAAAAACAAATTAGGGATATTTTTTTTTAAAAAAAATTTTGTTGGAATGCCATGGTTTCTAAAAATTTAGATTGTTAGATTCCAAATAATTTATTGTATGATAATTTGTTGGGTAATGATTAAATAAGGTCTCGGTTAACATAAGGCAATTTACTAAAGAATATTGTATAATTATTATTATCCTAATCTGGCTAACCATTTAAACTAACCTTAATCGCATCAGAAAAACAATTGGTCCCCGAGGGGATGGAACCAGGGTTGTGTGGCACCAGTCATTGTATTAATTTTTTGTTTAATGTTTTTCCCCTCCCAAACGATCTATTTAAAAAATTCTAATTCAATGTGCCTA